GTAAAACACTTGAATATGTTGTCGCCCACCCGCTCTTCCCTTTAAGACGTAACTGAGTCTGTGTATGTCGTAATGCACGCGTTGCTTTGTGACATCAGTGCACATGTGACCGGCTCTTAACCCCAACCCCGTGTGTTTAAAATGTGTCGAGTTGAACGTGTTTGTTGTGTTAGTGCATGGCTATTACAGGACGACATGCCGGTGCGGTGTATACACCACTTTGGATAACTGCCTCTCAGCTCTTAACTTGGCAGATTTTAAATGACGCTCTATAAAGCCTAGTAGAAGAAGAAGAAAAAAAATCTACTCAACAATGTATCGCATGCTGCACCCCTCCTCCCCACTCACACACACACACACACACAGTCCAGATATCACAGCGCCGTCGACATGACATAAAAGGTAACCTTGCGGTTTCTGGTTCAATTAATATCCCGTTTCGAGCGCGAGCCAAGTAATGAGAGAACCGGCTTCCATCGCAGGAAGGAGAAAAAAAATCTTTTGTATAAAAGCTTTGCTGATCACAAGCTTCCTTTCATCGAGTTTGATTGTGGAGACAAGAAACAGCAAATTTTTGTGATGCAAAGAGGCAAAAATTGGTTTAGGGATGGATTTCCCTCCAAAAAAATAAAAGAAAGAAAGAAAAAAAATCCCTTTACCTGTGTTTTTTAAGACATTGTTTTACTTTTTTGCTGTCTGTATAGCGTTTGGGTAATGGTGTCGTGTCCCATTTGATAGATGTGGCTTTAATCATTGTAATAATAAAGAAAAAAAATGCTTTGTAAATTGCCTAGAGTAGCAATATATTATAACACCTTATGGTTCAAATTTCAACTGTGGCGGACTTTTTAATAATATGGACGACATTGCCACTGCTTAAACGTTTGTTGGGTAATCATGTTTTCTTTTTTCTTGTTTTTTTTTGGAAGGACAATATGTTTATTGGAAAATGTATGCGTGTGTGTGTATGTCGGTGTGTGTGTGTGTGTGAGTGTGTGTGTGTGTGTGTTTGTGGGGGGAGGGAGGGGAGGGCCAAGGGGTCGCTGTGGGTTGTTACCTGTTTGTGTCCTATCCACGTTGCCTTCTGCCAAGTCCTTACCAATGCCTTTGTGGTTCTACCTATTGTACGACTTTCTTGTGAATTTTATTTTTTATGTGCAATTCTCATCAGCCTCACCATGCCAATAAAGGGAAATGTGTTTGAAAAAAACAAAACCCAACCAAAAGAACTTTCTCTCCTTTCGGCGCCTTGCCTATTATCTTCCTTTCCTTGTGATGAATGTCCCTTCATCAAGCGCCGTTGTACCGTTTTCACTCAGCGCTGAGGAATGATTATGATTTCCTCTCCCTCTGATTACTATCAAGGAGACATCCTTGATTTTTTTTTTCTCTTTCTTTTTAACGGGAGATTTAAAAGTTATGAAAACAATTCACGCCGCAAATGTGAATTCGCAACATATTTATCATCCTCCCCCCCCACCCCCTTTCCTCCCCGCCGTGCTTCTGTATCACTGAGCTGACTGACGCGGGAGAAATGACACAAGTCCGTCCTCAGCACATCTGTCTCCTAATAAAGAAAGTCGGCTTAATGCAGAGCAGCTTCCCCTCTTTGAAATTCACATCACCTGGGAGAGGAGGCGGCAGTCTTCTTTTTGTCTGTGTCCACAACTTGACTCCACACCACGAGCGTGCAAGTTAATTAAAAAGTTAGGGGGAACAATTTCATTAACACGATGGAGAGCTATAGTGAGTTGATGGTGTGCTTGATATTCAATGAGGCTTCATTATGACTATAACAATCCTGTCTTTTTTCTTTAACACACACACTCACACACACTAACGCACACCCTCTAGCCTGGGAGATGGAATCGCACCAGGAGCTTCTACCGTCTCCTTTTCTTTTCTGCTGGCACAAAGGGAAATATGGGAAGAATGTGCATTAAACTGTAAGGTTGGGGGTCTGATTGTGTTTTTTATTAAGGCCGCTGTTTAGCCCCGGAGAAGAGAGCGGCTGGCTTTCATTTCGGCTTGGCTGCCGCGTTACAGCGGGAGGTCTCCTTCTGCTTGCCCTTTCCACAGAATGAAACTGTCCCTGGAAATCTCTGCTCCCTGTCATGATAGGATGGCTTCTTCTTCTTCTTCTTTTTTTATCTGTTATATGTCTTTTTTTTATTATTATTAACCAGTAGATAAGCAGCTATCTCTACTCCAGTTGGAGGTAAGTGGTAGCCTTGGAGATAATGGGGTTTGATGGGGCTGGGCTCTCTGTGGGACAAACACTGAGATGCTGCCGCTGAGTTGTGCAGCTTGTATTTTATTTGGCATCTAGCTGCGGCTGTTGCTGTTGAAAATCCTGAAAATGGCACTTGCTGTATACACCCTTTGTTTCCAGCAATGTGATGGGAATGTTTAAATGGTTCTGGTGGCAAAGCAACTGAAAACAAAAAGAAATAAACTGCGCAATTTTGGCAGCTCTTTGGTGAACGTCTTAATATCTTGTAAGCAAGGCTGCGTGTGGGAAAAAGCAGTCTTTGATAATAAGATCAGACTACCTGAGACTAGTTAATTAAAGCCTGTGGGGTGGAACATGAGCGGTACTACTGCTAATTTACTATAAAGAGCCCCTTTAAAAAAAAAAGGGGGGGGGGTCTCGGCCTAGCACAAGACTACCAATTTCCCTTCTCTATGAATAGACAACAAGTGACATTGAATCATCACAGATTCTATCACAATAATTAAAGTTAGCTGAAACTGATTATCTCTGACTAAAAGGCTGGCAGAGAGAATAACAACAAGATTAAAGTGTGCCAAAGACATGGGAATTAGGGAGCTGTTGGCAATGACAAAATAACATCAAAGAAGTGATGCCAGGGTGCAATGCTGTGTCGCTGGGCTCTTGCCTCTAGTGTCCCTTCAAGGTTTCTCTTTGCTCAGTCCCCCAAACTCTGTCAGTGCCCCTCTCGCTCTCATTCTCGGTCCCTCCTTCTCCCTGTGCCCTTTCATTTTTAGGAGATTTCTTAAGCTTGTAGCATTAATCTGTTGCCAGGCGGCAGTCGGTGCCTAAGCGAAACAAGATCAAGAAGATTTTTGCCAGAACTGGAAGAAGAAGAAGAAGAAGAAGAAGCAGGGTTTTGGAACATTATGATATCATAACCACAATAGCTGCGGGCGAGAGGCTGTTATTCCAATCAGACTGCATGTACAAGCTCGGGGATGATCGGTTAAGTCACATGGCCCGGTGGTGTTCTGTTGCAGGAGTCATGTGACCCTGCTGGCACCGATTTGATTGTTGAGAAAATAAACATTTCCCGCGGCGGTTTGCGGACCCATCGTCTCGAATAAAACTGTGCATTTGGTTCCTATCATTTCTGAAAGTGGCCTTTGATGAATCTAAACAGAATGAACC